ATAGATACATAGATACACACACACACATATATATATATATATATATATATATATAGGATATATATATATACATATACATATATACATATATACCTACATACATACATATATATATATTTATATATATATAATGGCCCATTTACACAAACAGATATATAAGGAACACGTTTCGCGTGTAATCGTTATTTGCATATTTATATTATACTCTCATCGAACGATAACGGTTCCATTTCCGTATGTGTCTTCCTCGCCCGGGCCCGTTTTGTCGGGGAGAATGATTACAGTGTACAGACATGGGAGTTCAAATACATCTCGGATGATGCGCAGAGAAGCACGTCCGCAGATGAGGTTCTTGCTAACGGGATGCACCAGTCGAATGCTTCGTATCTGACAATAAAGAGTATATGCATATGAGCTTTTGACTGTGATTGTAAGATCGTCCTATTGAATGCGAGTGACGTCTCATGTGTGCGCTTGAGCAATGAGCTACACTAGACAAGGTAGGTAATTGCGAGTGTGCATTAAGGAAAATTTATAAATGCAGATGAAAAGAATTACGTGGACAGCTTCATTCGGCTCTATGTATATAATTGCAACTGCTATTTACACAGCTCTGCCGGTTGTAACAGGAGCGACCCCACTCGAACAACAGTCATCCTATCCGCTGATAGGCGGGGCTTCACACTAAACACGGAATACCCAGAGCTTCCCAGACCTCATAGCCAGTGTGGATGCACCCCTTATTGTTACACACTGCATACTCACTAGACATATGGAATGTTCCGATCGCTACGGAGCTCTGCTAGTCGTGCGCAATGTACATTTACGACAGCACAGCCTTTTAAATGCGACACGCACTGCGCTGACCAGACCAGCCGGTGTCAATTGAAGGGGGTCGCCAAACAACTCATGATAACTAAACCAAAGCTATGGCTCAGATCAGTGGTTCATATGATATCCCTTTCGAGATATACGACGTCAGGTGGCAGAGCATGTATGCCACAGTATGACCACATATATGTATACACTCACATATATATACACACAAAGATCGGCAAATAAGTGAGAGAGCGGACAAGGAAGAATGTATACGTATTCAATATGTATATGATCATGTGTTAATGTATGCAAACGTATGTCGTCGCTTACACATATGCATATATATATATATATATATATATATATACAAAGACAAAGCATACATATTCACAGAGAACCATCTAGACCTTAAAACCCCTAAAACCCAGTCAAGTTTCTTACCACTTGATTCGGATGGAAGAACAGCGCCAATTTATTCGACAACTCGCCAGCCAGCTCAACTATATCGTCACGGTGAAACAGCTGTGCAGATGATGTACGAGCAAAAATTGTATTGGTTTACATGACTGCGTTGGCTGTGAGAAACAAGGACAAACGCACACAGCTGAAGTGTGCGAAGGTGCTGCCAAGCGAGAGTCGCACAGTCGCAGGACTATAGGGCGAGAAGGTATGAATGAACACCACAACAGATAGGCAGAGTGGGAACCTGGAAAACCGCCGAGTGTCTGCATAAGAGTGATAAACCCATGTGTGACTCATAGGCTATTGAAATACTCCTCATAAGACTATTCATATACTTCGATCGCGAAGGGTTAAGTAGAGAGTCGGATATGAGCTGAGAAATGAAAAGTGGAGAAAAAGATAGATAAGGCTGTGGGCCATGGGCTGGTACTGTGAGATGAGTGTTATCCTGAACTCCCCATCATTTTCATCTCAATGGATTGGCACTCATTGCATCCGCGCAGCGTACAAGAATAACTGAAACACCACTCGGTGAACATACACACACACGAATATAACAAACACACACAAATACGAATATGCCAAACACACACCAACACACACACAGGTCTAAAAGCTATATAAAGCGAAACAGGACACCAGCTTGCCTTTATGAAGTTGAAGTCCAGGACCTCCTTGCGCGGCATGTTGAAGAGGTGACAGAACTGCTCGTTACACGCCACTAGGTCACCCAATCGCCTGAAGGCAAACGCAGGGGCACCTACGACATCAAACAGCTCCTGCACGCGCTTGACTTTCTTGACCAGAAACTCTTCCGAGAAGATCAGGTCTTTGTAATCGAGCGGGCCAATGATTTCCTGTTGGGCCGTTGTAGTTTGTGATTGTTTTAGGGGTCTTAGGGTTTTTAGGGTTTTGGTGTTTTAAGGTTTTATATGGTCTATGTGATAGTCGTGACAGGAAGGAATGGGTTCCATACTAATCCGTCATCGGGTCTTGCAATACGACACTTGACACGCATTCAAATCTTTCACTGCAATTAACACCGGGGGAAGGGTTCTTCATGTTCAACGCGTTTGGTCAACGTTTTGATTGTGTCTCGTCAATACGTCGCGAGACATGTCGTGGAGACACAATGAGGTCTGTGTAGTGGGCCATAGAGAGCCGGTGTGCTTGTGCAATGCTAGTGCGCAACGTGCTCACACTGATAACACTGATATATCACTGATAGTTCGGTACATATATACGATGGTATCACATATAGTTTATGTGATAAACTATCAGACTTCTACGCAGCCCTGCCTTCCACCGACTGAGAGACCTTCTCGAACGCACACGCACACGCACCCACACCCACACCCACACCCACACCCACCACCACTTACAAAAAGAGAGGACATGCCCAGCTCTCGATGCTTGTCCAGCAGCTTACATTCCTCCAGCCCCAGTTGACCGACCAGATGAGCGCGGATTTCCTGCGACTTATCGACAAAGTCATAGACGCGGCCGTTGGTGTTGTTGTTGCCACGTGTTTTGCGCTTCTTCTGTGTGACACCCCCGGGTGTCATCTTTCCGTCGGCTATTGTTGTGGGTGGGTGGGGCAGGCGATTGAGCGAATACTAGTTGGTGGATAAGCGTTTAGGAGACTCTGTACTCTGCTAGGCATTGGCATGAGTATATACGTAATACGTACAAACACGGACAACGTACAGTGGAGACGAGAGTACATATATTGATGGCTTCGAAATGTAAATACGTAACACAATAAAAATAAGACATTTATACACATACATATGTATGCATGTACTCGTGGATTTCATTGTATGGAAGTATGCCGATGACCTCATGTACGTATTGCTATTTAAACGTAGACTATTACCTGTCACGTCCGAAGGATACAAACGATCAGATACATTTAATGACAACGAACGGGGATATAGTTCTGAAGGCTTACCGGAAACCTCTCAACATGAGTTAAGTTCTATCAGCGCAAATGACAATACACAATCAAGACACTCACAGAATTGCTGAAAACACATCGCAACGTTGCGTAGGGGTGCCTAACACCAAAAGTATGAGCATACCGGAACTACACACATACACGTACACGTATACGTAAACATCAGAGCACACATACAGTGTATAAGCATTCATCGAAACACATCACCATACAGCGGAACAACCTCCCATCGCCCATACCCGATCTGTCTAGGTTATACGGGGCTTCGGCAGACGGCTGTCGTTTTATTGGATTAGAATTTGGCCTGGAACCATCGCCTCCTTGATTGGGCGCTAGTGATTGTTGGTTGAGCCGCGGGGACGAAAGGCCCGGACCTGAAAAGCTCGCGAGAAACATTATATAAGTGAGATCGAGTGTGTGTGACGTGGGATAGACACACTTAATCATTATGAGACCAAGTGTGTGTGATGTAGGATATACACACTTAATCACTATATAAGGGAGACCGAGTATGTGTGATGTGGGATATACACACTTAATCATTATATAAGTGAGACCGAGTGTGTGTGATGTGGGATATACACACTTAATCACTATATAAGGGAGACCGAGTGTGTGTGATGTGGGATATACACACTTAATCATTATATAAGTGAGACCGAGTGTGTGCGGTGTGGGATATACACACTTAATCATTATATAATGGAGACCGAGTGTGTATGATGTGGGATATACACACTTAATCAGGATTGGTACGACGCACAGTATGTATCGAATGAAATGGAGAGAGAAGTGGCACGTGTGAGCTTCTCCATAGCGTGCCGGAGTGTGTAGTGGAGAATTAAATATAGTAAGGAAATCGACTCACGAGTTGGAGATGAAACACAACACAGCCAGCCAGGACATAGACGGGAACAGGTCATAATCCATCCATGCAAAAAAATATATATATATATAGTTTTTTTAGGACTGCCATTGGCAACAGGCCCTACAGGGAGTCCGACAAATGACTCCGATACGGAACAACAAACAGCACCAGCACGTGTACTGCGGCAAACACAAACACAAACACAACACACGCAGAGGCAAAGTCTCATCCCCACACACGAGCACACCAACACACACGCACCTGTCATCATAGTCTGGTTTCTATTGATAGGGCCAAAGTCTCGGTTGGCTGCATTCGGGTCGAAGTTCCTGGGTGGCTGGTTCGGGTCAAAGTTCCTGGGGGGTTGGCTAGGATCGAAGTTGCGCGGTGTTTGGCTAGCATCGAAGCCACGTGGGGTTTCAAACACACGTGGGTGTGCCCCGGGATCAAACCCACGTGGAGACAGTATTTGTGGCGATAAGGGGACGGGTGTGTTGCTGCCGCTGCCATTGGGAAGTGTGCCTACGGGGTACATTGGCGATAGGAGCTGGTCACCAAGGTAACCGCCGGAGTGTGCGCCGAAAGTGTTGACCGATGGAGGCCGGCTGTGACTAGCCTGTTAGTTGAGAAGGTCATGTGCATGAGGAGGTGGATGGAAATTAGTTCTCCTGTGGATTGGCGGGGTGCAAATGAGCAGAATAAAGGGATGTATACAATAGAACAGGACAGTTAATTGTATTAACATCTACTGTTGAGTATGATTTGAGTAAACGCAACAAGGAAACAGGGTCGAGATAAGAAAAGATACAGACGAATACAGATATATGGATTATATATATATATATATATATATATATATATATATATATATATATATATATATATATATATATATATATATATATATATATAT